GAAAACGGTAGGTGCGCTCTCTAGAGGAGGGAAGTAAAACGTAACACTTATCTGGTTAAATAGATCTGGTTAAGTATGCCTGAAGCCTTCTTGAAGTATAATATTTTTTTAAACATCATACTAGCCTGAATGATAAGATATCATTTGTGGGTATTCACCTGTGCAAAGGAATACATTATTGTCATTCATTTCTATAAGTGTTTAGTGTACTATTGAGTCATATTATTATAATTTTATGTGGTTTAAACACAGCTGCAGGCATGTAATATGTGTAAGATGTCAGTAACCCACGCAGCAGCATGTTATGGCTTTTTATTTTTCAATAATCTGATCAAGGCTGCAGTACTATGTAAAACTGTAAGGTGGTGCAGTGAATCCATGCACTGCTTAAAATGTTTTAATATAATTTTAATGATCACTTGCAAAACAGTTGTATACATAATGGCATCTAAAAGAAGGCAATCTGCAAGAACTAATACTTGTATATACAATTTTGATGTTCAGTGTGGATATCTAAGGATAATACTTCACTGAATTCTTTAATGTGTTTGGCACATCAGAAATGTTTTTTTTTCTCCATGTATTTGTAGCGGAGCTAGTTCGGATATGGTGACGTCAGCGCCCTCACTGCGTGTAGCAGGGACCTCGGCTGCTGGGGCTGAGGGAGGTCTCCTTTAGCTCATGCAGCTGGTTCCCTGTTGCGTTCCGCCGGAGACCCGGGTTCGTCTCCCAGGTGCTGCGGGACGGAACAGATGGCGGGGGGCATGACACCGCGCGGAACCGCGACGGTCACATATTCAGCTCACGAGCTTTTAAAAACCACGTGCTGTAAAGGAGACACTTACTGTTCCATTTTAAATAGATCCCTTAAAAATAAAAAAATAGCAATGTAAATTCATAAATGTAAAATTAATTCATGCACTAGCAAAATCCAAAAGTATTGTAAATATCTATCTTTTGTCATCGTCTCCTCATGTCAGTTATAAATAGTCAAAATATATAATAAAACACGGGAATCCTGCAGGACAGCATGACTGAAAGGCAGATTAGCATGTATGAGTAAAACACTACATAATCATGTTTTGAAATTCTAGGAAAAAACATCCTTGTCACTAGCTGCTATCAATAAAACAAAAGAGATTCACCAAAATTGATTACCTCCTGCCCAGTTCACTGAACCGTTTCACACTATCAATTGATTTCATTTTTATTTGTCATTATACTTACATGAGTGCATAGTATAGTGAAAAGTGTTTCTCATTATTCTCTCAGGTGCAGTATATAAATAGTATACAGTATATATAGAATATATAGTGCATCGCCATTTGTATTGAAGATGTATCAGATATTAAACTGAGATGAGCATATACTGGACTTAAAATTCATCAGATATCTACAGTACAATATATTGAGTGGAATGAACTGTTTGTTTGGTGTGTGCTTTTTTATTTGTGCTATTTTAAAAGCAAGGAGACGATGTGTGGGACAGTAGGAAATGCAGTTTTTTCTTGAAGAATTTAATGCCACAGTCTAAATTGAAAACTACAAGTGTTGCTTAGTGATGAATTTACTTAATAGGAAGTTTCATTTTCCATTACACTGCAAAGAAAAAAAATATATAAACAACAGATAATTACATTTACTGATGTTATAATTCTTTTCAGAGGAAGTGAAACCAAAGCAACCAGAAGTGTTTCAATATTAAAACCAAAGAAACCTAAAACAAATGAAGGGAAGAAGATGAACAAAAATTTGCACAAAATTACCAAGAAACCAAAAACAGCAAAAGAGCATACTGTACTATACAAAAAAATGTTGTAAATAATGCAGAATTGTGGTGAGTGTGTGGTTTCTATTCCTTAAAGAGAATCTCTGGAGCTCTTTGAATTTTTACAGGACTGGGTAAAATCTGGAATGGAGGGACACCGGAACATAGACAACTGCACAGACTTCAGAATTTTCTTAAACTAGTCTATTTTATGTTTCTGTACTACATTTCTATACCATTTATAATGGCTGGGAAGCTATTTTTAATGACACAAAGAAGCACAAACTGAGCGCTAACTAATCAACCAGTTCTGTTCTCCTGTGCCGTTGTAGGAGGGCTGAGTGATGTCACACCTCCAAAAAGAAAGCACTTTGTCTCACAAACAATAACAATTGGAAAGATATTTTCAATGGCACAAACCTGCAGAATTGGAGCAATAATGAATTAGATCAGCTTGATTCTCCTGCACCATTCTATGGTGGCTGGGTGACTTCACACTGAAAAAAGAAGGTGCTATATCTTTCAAAGAAAAGCAGCTGGGAAGTTATTTTCAGTGGCACAAACCAGCACAAACACTGCACTAATGAATCAGATCAGTCTAGTTCTCCTGTGCCATAGCAGGGGGGCTGAGTGACGTCACGCCCCCTGAAAAAGTAAGGTGCTACAGTATATCTTGGAACCAAAAGCAACAGTAATGCTACTTTGAACAGCAAAAACTGGCACAAATGCAGCAGTAACAAATAAGGTGGCTTTCATGTGCTGTTTGTAGGGAAGCAACTTTCACAGAGCTATTTTCCAACCTATTACAATTAAATGTACCAATGTTGCCAAAGTAAGGAATTATTTTAAAACCCTTTTGTGTTAGAATAAATTTGTCTAAAGGAAGCTTGGTTTCTGAAGAAAACTAGTCTGTCAACCTGTCACAGCATTTGTCCCTGTAGTAGTTGCAAAGGAACAAGTAATAGGTTTATTTCATGCTAAAAAGAGAAGAAAGAGAAGAAAGAAAACACAATGTTTTGGCTGTGAAGCCTTCTTTGGGTGTGACACAATAAAATGTCTAAGTTACAGATTGCTGTGGATAGATTTAGCATCTCTTTCTGTTGTAGAACAGAAAACATTTACAATAAACTTGCAATTATTTCACCTTCGATTTAAAGTTGTTTAGACATAGACAAAGTTCTTTAATAAGATGACAATCATTTTTTTATGGAATGCCAAGTAAAAACATTAAAATACATAAAATAAAATGAGAAACATTTAGTTTACAGAGCTTCAATTGCAAAAACTTAGCATTTTGGCTTTTAATTGCACAACAGACTTACTCTTTCACAGTGAAATACTGCACTACAGCTCTACAGTCTCATCAGATATCAAAATTGAAATGGAGTAACAAAGGTCACAATTTGCACAGTGTGAAGAACACTTGTACACCTACTTCCTAGGTTATGTAAGATTCAACATTTGTACATTTGGATTTATGGGCCACGGGGCCCATAATACAGTTTTCAAGTTACAGATATTTGACATCTGATACAGTACAAAATGAGCAAATAGTAAGTTCCTTTAATGGTTAATGGAAACTCCCTTCCACCACCACAAATGTGTAGCACCCATCTGGATGTTGCAACAGCAGTCAAAGTGTGCATGGTACGCTCACCACACCTCAACTACCAGTGGGGAGGAGAACAGAGTAATGAAGCCAATTCAAAGATGGTGATTATTAAGACGCCATGATTGGCAAAGACCAATGGGAAATTTGGCTAGAGGAAAACCACTGCAGAAAAACCATGGGACTTTTAAGGACCACAGAGAGTCAGGACCTTGGTTTTACGGCTCATCAGAAGGACAATGTCTTATTTTAAAGTATAATGTCCCCGTCACCATACTGAGGGCATTAGAACCCACACAGACCACAGAGTGAGCACCCCTATTGGCCCCACTAACACCTCTTCCAGCAGCTCTCCCTGGAAGGTGGAGGTCCCTGGAGGTGTAACCAGAGGTCTCCCTGGTAAAGGCACGGGCCAGGCTCACCCCTGCTTAGCTTCATCGGGTTGCCAGTGTGAACTGCAGGGTGACATAACTGCTGACAAAGGAAGAAATAAAACAAGCGATACAATAAGCAATAGTGTTTGAATATGTAATTAAAAGCATAAGTTATAAATCAAGGCAATGCTTGTAGTTTCAGGGTCACACAAAGAACTGAAACTAAAATATTTTATTCATCCGAGATTTCAAACCTTTGAAAAGCCTTTTTAAGATGCCTGTCTTTGTTGCTATGATATAGAGCACAGTAAATGTGCTATCTGAGTAATATTTCAGTGCACATGGAATATAACTATACTGTAATAACATTTTCACGGTGAAGGTGGTGTTTCCTTTGGAAAATGGCTGAATAAACACATTTAAAAATAATATCAAATTTCACTTTCTTTGTATTTTTCATTTATTTTACAAAAAATGAAGAAAAATAGATGATATATGAAAGAGCAAAGTTAATTTTCTTCACTCTAAATTCATCCAAATGTTATTTAATAATGTGTGAAAATAAATACATTAATACTTAGAAAATGAAATACAGAAACAAATTGGGATTTTATTTCCAAGCATCTGTTTTGCTGTTTACTAAGTCTGCTACACTATAACACAATTAAATCCGATGAGTTCTGAAGGAGGAATTTTAATTTGATGTATTCTGACTATACACAGTATACAGGCATGTCCATAGTCTTGCTTTATTAAATATACAATATACAAGGCATGCCAAATAAAGATAAAATATTAGTTTTATCTTGCCTTAAATTATCCAAGATTAAGTTAATTAATCTTAGGAAGGACTGCTTTATTTAGAATATGGCACCTTACATCATCATATCTGCCCTCCGGGGAAGTCTCAGAAAACACATAGGTAATATAAATAGAGATACATAGACTGTAAGGGGTGTACTGTATTTGTTCAAAGAAGGGAGAAATTGTAATAGAAATGTACCTAACCTAAATACCTAGATTGTATTAATTTGGTATTTTGAGTATCCAAAGTGTTCCTTAAAAAATATTGTTAAATTATAAAAATACGTTATTAAAAATACTTCCTTCAGTTTAAACCAATGGATGTGTCTATGCTTCAAGAGCTCAGAAAAGAAAATTTTTGCTATCCCACAATTAATGGATCCTGCACAAGGGAAGTGCGTTCTCTGACAACTTACATTTTGTTATATATTTTGCTTTCAACTGGGATGATAATCACAATATTTGGAAACCTGGTTGTTATGATTTCAATAACCTATTTTAAGCAGCTTCACACACCAACAAATATGCTTGTACTGTCACTAGCCCTTGCAGATTTTCTGCTGGGGATGTCTGTGATGCCTTTCAGCATGATCAGATCTGTTGAAACCTGTTGGTATTATGGAGACATGTTTTGCCAGCTGCACTCCAGTTTTGATATGTTTCTGACTACAGTTTCAATTTTCCATCTGATATTTATTGCTCTAGATCGCTATCAGGCTGTGTGTAATCCACTGCATTATTATTCAAAAATTACAAATCGTGTTGCTTGGCTGATGATTGGTGTAAGTTGGGGAGTTGCTGCAATATATACATATGGACTTCTATATTCCAGAGGCAATGCAGAGGGTTTAAATGAATATGTATCAAGTACATATTGCTTAGGAAGTTGTGTACTTTTTTATAATGCATTATGGGGGTCACTGGACACATTGATTGCATTTTTCCTGCCTTGTTGTATTATGGTGGGTTTGTATACAAAAATATTTTTCATAGCCAGGAAACATGTAGTACAAATTGGCACAAAGACTGATCAAGAAAAAAAAGACAGATTTTCTGAGAAATCTGAATGGAAAGCTGCAAAAACACTAGGTATTGTGGTTGGTGTTTTTATACTCTGCTGGATGCCTTTCTTTGTTAATTCCATTATAGATCCTTTCACTAACTTTTCTACCCCTGCAATTCTCTTTGAACTCTTTGTCTGGCTAGGCTACTTCAATTCTACCTTAAATCCAATCATTTATGCATTCTTTTATCCTTGGTTCCAGAAATCACTAAAACTTATTGTTACATTCAGAATATTTACCAAACATTCTTCTAGTACAAAATTGTTTTCTGAACAAATCTAAACAATGATATGCATCCCAGCAGATTAAAATTATTTTAAGATAGTATTTTTTTATTTTATTAAGTCAATTAAGATTGTAGAAAAGTTAAAAAAAATGGCCTTGCAAACATTCATTTTACTTTCTTATTATTTGCAATAGTAAAATAGAATTGGGAAACTAATCCTAACATTTATCTGTTATTATTTTCAAAAGCTAGCAGCACTCAGAAGTGTTAAACCTAATAAAACCATCATTAACCAACAGAAAAAAAGCAACAAGGGAATTTCATATTGTGCCTCTGATGAATCAATGCAGAGCAAGCTTTTCTTCCTCAAGAAACAAGTGCCGTAGATAACTTAATCCCGAATTCTTTTCCATTTCTGTTGTTTTCAACTTCCTTAAGTTTCTCCTCAATGATGAAAAGTGAGGGGAAAGCTACAGTGAAAAAGTCATATGAATATCTTCAAATGGAAATAAGGATAAGGATGCGGAGAGGTGTGTGTTCTAGCGTATGTATAGTCAGTGTTTGAGTAGCAAGTGCATGGCAGTTTGCATTATTCAATACATTGCTCTAAAGCGAAGAACACTGTTTTGTTACTGTGTTTTAATGTGGTAATTAAAAAGTGCAATCTTGTAGTTAATAATTTGTTGCAAAATTGTTTACTTCAAATTAAGAAATTATTTCTTTCTTCACTTTTGTGATATTTTAAAATGGAATTCCTCCAATGAAAATGAATATAACGTACATAAAAAGGCAAAATAAAGTAATTGATGTTTGTATTTTAGAAAAGACAACACTGAGCAGTATTTAGTATTTGTTTACTGAATGTTTTGTAGGCAATAGTTTTTTTTTTATTCTTGTTACACAGATGGTTTTCATATACAGTACAGAAGAATAAGAAAAGGAATTACTGACTCCTTTTTAGTGTTGAATCTGAATTAAAATGATATACTGATGTATGCATTCTGACTGATTTAGAACAGTAATTGATGCTGGTGTGCTCTAATATGATTGATTCACATAAGTACTAGCAGTTATTCAGATATTTAGTCATGATAATAATGCAGTTTCAAATTTAAAATTATATATCATATATACAGTACATTAAGCAGGAGAAATCAGTTACAAAGTTCATAGCTATCATGTTTCAACATTAGATACATGTATGTTATAGCTATGAATGAAATATAGTATATGCTATCAATGAAATTATATTTTCATCCAAAAATAATGTTGAATAAAAATCCTATTCAATTTGTAAATGTTTTGATTAGTTAATAATATCAAGTATTTCAGAACCTTAATAAAAATGTATAAATGAAAATATAGGTGGGTAGCTGCGTCAGCATGCGTAAGCTGCAAAGGAACAAGTAATAGGTTTATTCCATGCTGAAAAAAAGAAGAAAGAGAACACAACGCTTCGGCCGTGGAGCCTTCTTTATGTGTGAAAATATATATATATATTTAACACTGAATAAAACTGAATCTGGATTATCAACACCCACTAACCACTTTAGCAATATTGTTATGTGATTACCTAAGACCTATATTAAATCAAGAGTGCAATTCAGCAATATCTATACTTTAAAATGGTTGTAGTAATGCAATACTTTAACCTGTTCTCTACTTGCCTCACATTTCAAGAAATACAAAAGCAAGTTAAGTTCCTAAAAACCTTGATACTAATCATGTCAGTAGTTCACTCTATGCCCATGTCCCTAGGGAAACATTTCTCAATAATGGTTGTAAAAAACCCCAGTGTGCCCTAGTTTTTATCCCATCTTGACCCTATGCGGTTTATTTAAACACATAACATTAATAATAACGTGACTGAATAATATGAACTTTACAGATTTTTAGAAGTCAAATTGTAAGCTACAGGTTGTTATGGGTAAAATGTGGAGTCTCTTTCTGTTGTAGACGGGAAAACATCTACATTAAACTTGAATTTATTTCACCGTTGATTAACAGTCGTTCAGAGAGAGACAAAGTTATTTATAATTTTCAATAAATAAATTGTTAGGGAATTCTGAGTAAAAAAATAAAATCCATAAAATAAAATAAGAAACATTTAGTTAACAGAACTGCTATTGTAAAAATTCATCATACTGGGACATTAAGACTCTCACAGACCACAGAGAGAGCGCCTCCTGCTAGTCTCACTAATACCTCTTCCAGTAGCAACCTTCCTTTTTCAGGAGGACTCCCTGGTGCAAGTACAGGCTAGGCTCACTCCTGCTTAGCTTCATTGGGTCGCCAGTGTAAACTGAGGCGTGATGTAACCGCTGAAAAAGGAAGAAATGAAATAAGCAATACAATAAACAGAAGTAGTTGCATATATAATTAAAAGCAGTTATACGTTATAAATCAAGGGAATGTGTTTTTTTTTCTATTAGTGGACCTGATTTAAATATTCAAAGTCCTCAAAGGTTTCTAAAGTCAAAGTCAAATCTACAGGACCTCTTCGGAATTATCAGTGACAATAACAGAATTCACAATTGTAAATTAAATGGAAGTGCATTTTAAACTGGGAACAGGAGGCACTTTTCACATAATAGTGATTTATACAGTTCTAGAGGAGGACAAATTTCTCATCTGACCCTCTTAGCATCTCTTACACAAAAATATCACTGAGTAGCCCATTTGTGCTTCCTTCTTTCGTGATTTTTGTTCCTGCTACATATAGACATTTCTCACTCACACTTACTCTGTCCTGAGAGTGCACCCCACTCAAAGTCCTAATAAAAACTGAGACTTCCCTCCATCAAGTTTGCCGATGACACCACAGTTGTAGGTCTGATCACAGGGTCAATCTCCTTACAACGTGGTGTGAAGACAACAATGTCAGCAAAACCAAGGAGCTGATCGTTGATTTCGGGAAACTGCAAAACGGACATGCCCCTATCCACATCAATGGGACTGAAGTGGAAAGGGTCAGTAACTTTAAATTCCTTGGCGTCCATATCACCGTGGACCTCACATGGTCTCTCGATGCCACCTGTCTGATCAAGAAAGCACAACAGCGCCTGTACTTCCTAAGACTGTTGAAGAAGGCTCAGATATGTCCCCAGATCCTCACTAACTTTTACAGATGTACTACAGAAAGCACATGGACAGGCTGCATCACAGTGTGGTATGGCAACTGCAGTTCTGCTGACCGAAAAGCCCTACAGTGGGTGGTGAAAACTGCCCAGTCCATCACTGGGGTTACCCTCCCATCTATACAGGACATTTATGACAGACAGTGCTTGTCGAAAGCTCTTAGCATCATCAAAGACCCCACACACCCCAGCTACAGACTGTATGACCCACTACCATCTGGAAAACATTACCGGAGCATTCGGGCTCGGACTATCAGACTCAGAAACAGTTTTTACCCCCGCACCTCACAGTGCCTTCTTTCTTACCAAAAACCCAAACACACATTGAGATCTACCTCTACCTTACATGTCAAAAAGCTCACTCCCCATAATTTCTATCCCTTTATTTCATTCTGTTGATGCATGTTTTTGCACATCTGATGTTGTTTTTGCACATTACCTGTTACCTTTTTGTTGTTTTACACATTGCCTGTTGCTGTTTTGCACATTGCCTGTTGGTTTTTTGCACACTGCCTGTTGTCTCTGTCTTTCTTTTGTATTGTATTGTTGTTTTTTTTCTTTGAACTACTTATCGTCCAAGAGCTAGCTAAATAGCAATTCATTATACCATATACCTGTATGTGAGCATAATGACAATAAACTTGAACTTGAACCTGATTATAGCAAGCTGGTAGTGAGGATCAAACTACCTATCTGTATGAGGCGTTATTCCCAACATCCGTGCCCCTCACCTCATCACCTGGTTACACCTTGATTGATTGTACGATGAATTCTACATAATACCATAGAATTTTGGTATAGAAAGAGGTAAATATGAAGACATTTCTCTGACAATACTGTATGTCTAAATACTATATGGTAAACTATTAAATCTTCAGGGGGTGAACTTATTTGTCACCACAGTGTACTTTACTTTGGAGTGTACTGTATATCTTCTTCTAACTCCATTGTTTATTGCCTCCTAAATTTCTGCCTCCTGAAATTCTCATGTCAATAGAAAACATGCTATTTTTAACTCATATTTAAGAATGTTACCCACATGTGGTCTAAGACAAACACCAGAGATGCAAGAAGCGGTTAATTGTCAGAAGACTGATTGTATTATTGAAGAGAGAGAGTGGGTGTGTTCTACTGTTTTCTTTGTTATATAAATACAGCTTGTATCAAAGATGCATTTCAGAAATCCTGGGCTGTAATATAAGGGATGATATCTTATGTGGCACATAACAAGAAACAATGGAATTCACAAAAGTAAAGGAAATGGAAAACATACTTGTTTGCTCTCAAACCAGTAATTCCTCTTGCTTGAAAGAAATTCGGTCCACAGCAATTAATGTCATGCTATATATCCTTTTGTTAACTGGGATACTCATCACTGTGTGTGGTAACCTAGTGGTGATCATTTCTATCTCTCACTTCAAACATCTCCACACTCCAACTAATCTTCTGGTGCTCTCAATGGCTGTTGCAGACTTTTTACTTGGATTGTTTGTGATGCCATTCAGTATGATCAGGTCTGTTGAAACATGCTGGTATTTTGGAGATACCTTTTGTTTTTTTCATGCAAAGATCGACTTGATTTTGTCTACTGTTTCAGTTTTTCATTTGATATTCATTGCTATTGATCGTTACTATGCTGTGTGTGATCCTTTATTGTACTCCTCTAAAGTAACAATGCCTGTGGCATGGCTGTTTGTTACAGTTAGCTGGATTGCTGCAGTTGTATACATATGTGTGTTAATTACTTTCAAAGGAAATACTGACGGTATGGACGGCTTTGATCCATGTCCAGGAGACTGCATTATTGTCTTTAATGCAGTGTGGGGAACTCTGGATACAGTGTTTACATTTTTCTTACCATGTTGTGTTATGCTGTCCATCTATACAAAAATATTTTCTGTGGCAAGAAGGCATGAAAAGGTAATCTGTACAATACAGGACCAAATACAATCAAGAGAACACAAAAAAATGAAAATACCTCGCAGTAAAGACAGTAAAGCAACTAAAACATTGACTATTGTTATTGGAGTCTTTGTTATTTGCTGGTTACCCTACTTTGTTAACAGTGTAATGGATCCCTTCTTAAACTTTTCTACTGCTCCAGCTGTCGTCGATGCTCTGCAGTGGCTGGGGTACTTCAATTCTGGCTGTAACCCAATCATCTATGCTCTGTTTTATCCTTGGTTTCAGAAAGCCCTGAAGCTCATTGTAAACTGTAAAATATTTAATCCAGGATCTTCTTTAATAAATTTGTATGCAGAAATCCATTAAAGCTTGCATGTCACCAGTTGTGTTTCTAAAATACAGCTTGTGTATGTGTATTAGTATTTAACAGATTTAAATCTGATAGGGAATACAAATTAGAAGATACAATATGTTTGGTTTGGGTTAAACTGGTGGCTTTTTGATGACTTTATGATTTTGTACTTGTTAAATCTAAACAGATCTAATAATTATTATGTAGTTTTAATTACGTAGAGAAAAATATTTTAATGATTATGGTAAAGGGTTTATTAAATTAAAGAAAAAAAGGGGTTATTTGGCTTATTTCAAATTATGGACAACATAATTTCAGTTATATTAAGAACTGAAACAATTATTACTTGTAAAATAATCTTGATAGATATATTTTTACACATTTTTTAATTCTGGATTTCATTACAATAAAAATATAAATAGTTTATAGTTATAGTATATACTACAGTACATTATAGTATATATAGTTTAAATATTGTTTCATTTTTAAATGTACTTTAAATTACAATTTGGATATATGTTTTCTAATAACTTTTTTAAAATTTCGATTTTTTAAATTCTAATTAAAATGCTAATACAGACTACAAATGATATACAGAATTTTATAGTGGGTATGCATCTTAGAACTTAGTTAAAAATATACAACATCCTTTTGGCATTACAACTATGTGCCTACTGTTTCTTGGATTCAAGCTTTGTATGTCCAGGTACTGTAGCAGTGATTGAAATAAACAAGAGCCTTAATTTAAAAAAATATTTCCACTGGACTTATTTAATCAAATAGACTTTAGAGTTTCACTTATACTGCTCTACAGCATATTCAAATAAAAGGATACTGATTTACAGTAATGCTGTAATCTACAACCATAATGCATATTGACTATTGTACATGCATATCTATTAGATTGTAGGTTGTATAATGTAATTAAAAACTGTAATCTGCAACATATCAGTACGTAGGATTTTCTGAATTGCAAGACGTCTTTTTTCCACAATTTAATTTTCAAATTTATCTGGATACCAAATGATGGTAATACAATATTTATGTCTTACTTGTGAACATATTTACCAAGGGTTTATGGTACTGGCACTGGTTTCTATTCTATCCTGGTGATCTGCAAATTTTCTTTGGAGATGAGCTCAACTAAATTAATGGCTTTAGTAGTTTTCTTTTTCCTGGTATTAAAGTGTTGGTTAAAGGTTTAAAAGGCCTGATAAACTGTAACCCTCTAGCACAAGGATTGGATAACTATGACTTATGATATAGTGAGCACAATGAAAAAGCTACGTAATTTACAAATGCTTTATGCCTTTCTTCCCATTTATGACATATGAAAATAACTAAGTAAAGCCTGTCTTATATTAAGGATATAGATTTTTTCCACATTTCTATATACAGTATAAGTACAGCTCAAAGTTGCAAAATGTTTACATACTGTAAACACCTACAAGAATTTAACACACAAACGTATGATTCTTTTGTCATTGTTTCCCATCGGTTCTGATCCTGAAGACTGTTTTCAGTCCTCTTACACTTCTGCCTTGACAATAAAGTCTTTTGAAATTACTGTTGAAATGTATTTTTGTTTGGGATTGGTTTTCACTATGCATAATTAAGTTTTTAAACTATGAAGCTACTTTATTCATGAATAAAACACATAGCAGACATAGTATTAATCTGTGCACTTGCAGTCTTCCCAGATGATTGAAAGGAACAGCAGATTTCCTTTCAGTTTATGTTTATTATGTAGTTTTTCAAATTAAGCTTTCAAATTTCAGCTAATGTTTTTTATGTCACCATATAATGGTGTGTACTGTACTGTTCTTAAGTGGTGTGTCCGATTATGCAGTCAAATAGGCCCACCTGGGCATTTAGACCTATTAAGACCTATTTAGAAGTATATTTACACTTATTAAGAAGATCTCTGGGAAGTCCAAAAAGTTTTATTAACAATTTAAATAGTGGGGACCAGTATCCAATTAGTCCAAACTTAATCCCAAGAAATATTGTCAACTAATTGAGATATATCCTTATTCTCCACTAGTCTATATGAAGATCTTAATAGTAAGTAAAAAGCAAGCAGATTGGTCTGATTTATTCTGCTACATACTGTTTATCCAGCTTTATATGTAAGGGGTTAAAAGGAAGATCCCCAAAAGCATTTCTTGTAAAAGAGCCCATTCTTCAAAGCAGACTGCATCAATCAAGATCGAGTGAGGGAAAAGGAAATAAAATAATCTTCACAAGAGTGATCATAATGCAGTATGTTCTTAATTGTTCTCTGCTGCTACATTCACTCCCAGAAATTATTCACCATTCTGGATCTCCATATCTGTTGCTTCTATAATTTCAGATTTGAGGAAGATACTCGGCTGTACATGGGCAGCCTGTTACTGTTACTGTTACTGCATCATTTCCAGTTGTTTCACTTTTCCACTCAGCTACCTCTGAAGCCTAACGAGTTTTGCTGCTGGGTCAGCCTTCTCATAAATACACATAAAGTCCAAGAACAAGGCCAATGTCTTCTCAGGCAGCGCTATCACAAGCACAAGCTGCTATCTCTAGCACTATTGCCTTCAGGCCTTTGATTTTAATGAAATCCCTACATAACCCAAACAAGCTCCCATTTTGCCTTCTCTGCACACTATATTAATGCTTTGTTGTATTAATGATATGTATGTTAATAATTGTAGCCAAATAGATTTTAAAAGAAAATCCCACAAAAATACTTTTTTCTGAATTGTTTCCTTTCCTGTCCCCCTCATCTCAGGATCTTGTCAAAACTAACTCAGCAGTTCCACACCTCCACACATCCACATGCCAATCCTTAAGATGTGGTAATTATGTTACTGTTGTAGTTCAGGTGGGTAGCTGCGTCAGCATGCGTAGGCTGCAAAGGAACAAGTAATAGGTTTATTCCATGCTGAAAAAAGAAGAAAGAGAACACAACGTTTCGGCCGTGGAGACTTCTTCAGGTGTGAGAGAGCAGCGACGACATCGACTTCGAGAACCAAGCCCTCTAAATGTACTCCTTTTTCATCAACAGAGGATACCCAGCAGTGTGATTGACAGGGCCCTTGCCCGAGCCAAAAACACCCCCCGCGGGGCCCATCAACCCGATCAGGAACTCCCGCCGTAACAACCGCATTCCTTTGGTGCTTCCTTACCACCCTAACACACTTCCTATCCCCAGGACCATTAACCACAACTTTTCCATCCTACAGGATGATCCCTCCATTGGGGCCCTCTTTTCTGATCGCCCTATCATCTCATATCGCTAACCATCTAATCTGCGTAACCTCCTTGTTCACAGCTCCCTTGACTGCCCTCAACAACCATCCACACCAGGTGCTTTCCCTTGCAACAGAGCTCACTGTATCACCTGCAAGTACACATCCACCACCACACTCATTCAAGGCCCCTCAGGACAATTCCGGATCACCCAGACATCATCTTGTACCTCCAGCAACCTTATTTACTGTATCTCTTGTAGTAAATGCCCAGCCATCTACATTGGAGAAACAGGAAGGAGACTCGGAGACCGCTTCAGAGAACACGTCAGGGCTGTGAAGATTAAAGATCTCTCCAAACCCATTGTTTCTCATTTCACCTCTGACTAATTTTGATTAGGGGGCGGAACATCTCATACAGGAGAAGGAAAATCACACCTACACTGACACATGCCTGGCTACTAAATGCGAGCCTTGTTGTCACACCGTGACAGTAACAATGGGTCCCCATCCATTTTTCTCCTTCCCTGCTGGTGAGACATATGCAGTGTCAGCCTTTGACCCCCTCCCTCCCTACTCCATAGTTTCTTTCTGTCCCATGCTAAACATTAGGCTTACTCAACACACCATTAGCTCCATGAATGCTGTGTAGTCACCTCTTTGCCATTCCTCTGTCTGGTACAGTGTTAGCCCCTGACTTACTTCTATTTCTGTCCCTTCCTTAACATCATGTTCTACCCACCATGCCCCAGAACTATCTTCTGTTTTCTCATATCTTCCGCTTCCCTGGCATAGTTTTGTCCCTCAAGCCGATCTCCGTCTGTGGCCAGGTCCACTTGCTTAGTGCTTCAGATATCTACCTTTCTCACTCCCTATTCAAGCACCTCCTCCCCATATCTTCCCTTTATCAAAACAAAATTCAGTGTGCAGACAGTAACTTGACCTCTCTGCAATATCAGCAATCCTACACTGGAAGGCTAGTGGACCCTTGCTATTTCAAGACCCTCACAATCGCATCTCAGTCCTGGTAACGTGCTGCCTTATGCTCTCTGTTCCCAGAGTGTCTTACTGAACCACACTTCAAAGTACTCACTCTCCTCTTTTTTATTTAAATTAATATATTTATATTTATAAATATCACAGTTTTCAACTTGGGTCTGTTATCTGGCTTGATCAGTATTGGCATTAGACATGAAAACTCCTCATCCTTTCTTCCATGTTTGCAGTATTTGTAGGGATAAACAGTCTCATTCCATGTGCCCTCTATGCCTGTCTTCGCTTCAAGCAGGGTGATGGTGCAAGCCAAGGCTTTAGAGGAACAGAAGATATTGAATCTAATACCTATGTGATGGATTGGTTTTGGGGACAGAGCAGGATTCTCCATATGTGTTTCAAATAGGTAGCTGAGTCAACACCCGAAGAAAGCTCCACAGCCAAAATGCTGTGTTTCCTTTCTTTTCAGCATGGAATAAACCTTTACTTGTTTCTTCTTCTCCATATGTGGCTCAAGGGTTGGCATTCACCACAGTCTGCTTCACATAAATGTGTTTTTTCAGCATTTCTCAGCATTATGCGTCTAAAGACCATTCTGTACAAAGCAGCATGGTGAAATCCCAACATCAGTAATGTGTTTTAACTAATTTTTCTTAGCTGTTACCTCTGACATATCTCTGGGGTGCACTGGCTAAACAAATATTATATCACAACCTGTATATTGGTTTCAGGACACCTACATCAGAAAATGGCTTGCAGCTACCTTGTTCCAGAGATTATATTCTAATGCT